CAGTATTCAATGTGGGATAGAATCATACAGTGGAGGTATGACTTTGCAGCATTGACAGTTAAGAAAGGTCTGATTTGTTTAAAATGTTGCAAGCCTGCAGACGGTAGTCAAAATATGGTCATTATGTCAATGAAAGATATTGAGGAAAGGTATAGATGATGTGATGTGAAGCTATTCTTAAGGGTTATAAGAGTGAGTGACCTTTTTTTAAAATTTATTTTTAATTTTTCTCTTCTGCAGGGTGCCTTAATTTTTATTTAGGAATATAGCATCGGCATATATAAGCCTATTCCGGTGTCTTTTTTTTGTCATATTCTACAGATTTCATATAAGTTTAACTTTGGGAGTACATGTAATATATTCCATATATACACTCGTGTCATTTTGGTGACAACATCCTGCTCACATCATATCGACCCGTGTGTGTTTTGTGTGTGTGTGCAGAGGATGGGCGTCCTGAATGTGGGTCAGCGGATTGAGGAGCAGGCTGAGTTTGAGAAGATCTACAAGAACGGTAATGTCTCGTGAGTGTGTGTTGTGTGATGATCTGAAGCCTGTGAGTGTGTGCTCACTGTTCTCTGTGTGTGCTCTCTAACCAGCATGGGCTGACAATGCCAATGCATGCGCTGTACAGTACGCAGGGACCGGAGCTCTGAAAACAGACTTCACCAGGTACAGTAACCCTGCAGCACACGGCTCACTAACATGTGCTGGCTCTGTGGAGGCTGGGGTCATGACTGTGCTCAATCAAACTTCATTTTTCCATCAGGACGGGGAAGAGGACCAGGCTGGGGCTGCTGATGGACGGCTGGAACTCCATGATCCGCTACTACAAGAACAACTTCTCTGATGGATTCAGACAGGTGTGATGAAAGCTCCATTGTTTAAATCATATTGTCCAGACATTTGTAGTAGACTGAACTAATTCAAACGGCCTCACACACACACACACACACACACACACACACACACACACACACACACACACACACACACACACACACACACACACACACACACACACACACACACACACACAGTCAGATTAGATACAATTAAAGATCCCAAAGTTAAAGATATAATAAAATATATTGTAAAACAATAAACAGTTAATATATACACAATTACACATTCACAGTAGAAAGATAAATAACTATAAAGTGTATATACCAACCTACTGCTAAAACAAAATATACTGTATAAACATAGGATACTAAATGCATACGTATCCAAGCTACAATTCATTTGTTGAACTTGATTGAAATGCAATGAGGTAGACCTTTCATATTCACCATTTCAAAGAAGCCAGTGTGTTGATCCCTCGTGATGTTTTTGCTTCCAGGACTCCATTGACCTCTTTCTGGGTAACTTTGCTGTGGATGAGTCTGATGGACCCACTCCTCTCCGTGTGCAGAAGGACTGGAAGTTCCTCACGGTCAGTATATCAGCTTTCCACTTTCTTCAGCAGTGAACATGACTGTGGTTCTTATCCTAGTCTAATCCCTGCTCTCTTACAGCTGCCCATCGTCATGCTGGTGGCCTTCTCCATGTGCATCGTCTGTCTGCTCATGGCGGGTAAGTTCCTCTCACTCATATCATCTGAATCAATTCAACTATAGCTGCAGGCAGTTTGTGATTTATTGACCTAAACACTATTGGCTAGTTGATGATGCGTACATTGATATGAACTACATATCTTTATTTAGCTATTGAATTATAAAAACTATTAAATCGCACTAGAATATTATAATTTTTGACTTAAAGCCTTGTAAACATTTCATCACCATGACCTAAATGAAATCTGAAAAGTGAAGAAAAAACCAGCAGAACTACAGGCCTGCTTTGGACCTGAATTTTACTGATTTCAGTCAGTCACAGTAACAAATCCAACAAAGTGAAGTGCAAACTGTAAACATCAATTATTTTCTACATAAAACGACCTAGATCCATAGAGCATGGACACTAGTGTTTTGTTGAAGCTCTGGTCCAATTGGCTCCGTCACATCTGGTCTCAGCTTGTGAACTGAATGGAGAGGGATATAACTTGCTTACAGGCTCACTTTCTGGGGGCTTGGGTAGTACAGCAAGAATCAGTCTGTTCCTGGAGGTGGTGAACTTTTGACAGATGCACCAATGATGAGAGGCATCGTCAACTATATCCCATTGGCTGCTAGAGGTATACGTAACATGGTAGCAGATGAGTGAGAGGACGCTGGCGTTGCTTGTTCGCCGCTTCTCCGTCTGCGTTTTAACTTTTCTTGCCTTGTAAAAAGTGTTCGTTTTGACTGCTGGATCATATATAGCCTACTGTTCTGTCACAACTGTGATGATCGCATTGTTCAGTTTTTTCATCTGGCTACTCACCATTTCTGTAGATGCACAAGCCTACAGCCGCCGCATGTGAAGAGCATAGGATGTTCACTCCACTGTTC